ATGTTCTATTTCGACTACATTTTATTTATTGCCGCATTAATATTTTTTTATGAAAATAATATTGTTAAATTTGTCTCATTGTAAATTTTCAAAATTTATAATTTTTTTAATTTTTTTACTAATACAAAATTATATATATTAATGGTCAAAGTTGTGTCTCGACAAGTGTGAAATGTTAACCGTTGCATTTATTTAAGAACGGAGGAAGTATTTTATTTGTTTTGTAAACATTACAAATGTCATAGGTTAATATTCCCTCCTCATTCGAATGTTTGAAACGTTCACCCAAATTTCCCTCACTTGTGTTAACAAATAACTTGGTAATTATTCAACTACATACGATTTGTATCATAGATGACTTTCCTTTTTCATGGTTTAACTTTATTTTCAATTTCAATTGCTTCCCTAAACATCCAATCTAAACTTTGGCATGCATAGATGAACTCATGAAGTGATTTGCCTAGATGAAAAAAGGCATGCTGTGCGTACATTGAAAGTAAACGATACTGATAAATAACAAACAAAAAAAGGTAATTGCAATTTGGACAAGCATACAAAATTGCAACACTTGGAACCAAACAATAGTTCACAATGGGGTATCTTTGTCACAAATAACTACAAAGATACGTTTGTGATGTTTTTAATAATTGTTAGTTTGTAGTGACCGAAAAAATCTTAAAAGAAAAAGTTTGTAGTTGTTTGATAAAAAGCCTACCGTTTGATTTAATTATGTTTGGTATAACAAACCTTTGTGACTAATTAATGCTTAAAGCTACAAACTTTCTCCTAGATGCTACACATATTAGCTTTTCAAAAAGATCTTTTATTTTGAGAAGAACTTTTAAAAATTATCATGTCAAACATACAACTAGAATAAGATTTTAGAGATATTTTAAATAGTACAAAAGATAGAAAATAAGAATTTGAGGTATTACCCGAAATAGGGTTTGAAAATTCCAAAATATGACTGCCATGTTTTTATTCCCAAAATAGGACTAATTATTATCATGTTCTGGCAGTACTAGACTTCAAACATGGCAGTATTTTCCAAACTTGGCAGTAATTACTTCTTTTTTGGGAATAAAAAACATGACAGTTCTATTTTGGAAATTTCAAACAGTTTTAATCCTATTTCGGGAACTTACCCTAAGAATTTATGTCTATCAAACATGCACAACAACAATTTATTCTACCACTTTGACTAAACTCTGATAACTTTCTTGATTCAGCTACTTAAGAAATTTGACATTTTCAATCACAAGTTAGTTATTAATGTCACTTTTTCTCTTTTCAATGTAAAACCCAACAAAAATATTTCCTTGTTCAAATTTGTGAAATCTCTTGAGTATTATACAAGCAACTTGATTTGTGAAAAACTTTGTTATAATTTGACAATTTGACTATAAAGCGGTTATAGTGAATAGTGATATAGGTTAAATTCCTCTAAAAAGGATGACGCTCATTCTATAAGTACTCCCCACAACCAACTGAATATTTATTTGAGAGAACATAAGTTGAGTTTTAGAGGTCATTTGGTAACACCGTTTTTCTCTCGAAGGGGAAATGAGCGTGAATCTAAATTGATTTGGGGACTGAGGAGGATATGTTTTAATTATTAGAAAGGTATATTAGGAATATGGACTCCTATCTACCTTAATCTAAAAGGAAAAGAATTTCAGGGAACAGTGTTCCCGCTGAAATCTGTCGTTGTCTGAGTGCGTTATTGGCAAAAAAGTAGGAAGCCAGGGTAAATGGAGGTGTTATTGCCAAATGCGTTATTTTCCCCCCATTGTTATTGGGTCGTTGCCATTGGACGCTGTGAGAGGTGTGAACAATTGAAGATTATTTTGAAGTCATCCTATTGGTCTAAACGGGCAGGCAACAGTGTTTACTCTCATTCTGTAATTTCAATTATGTAGTTTCAATTAATTGCCTTGAGTGATTCTTATTGGTGGAAAGAGGAGGCATGGCAGTTGCCCATGCCATTCCACCTTATTGCTGGTGATTTCTTCACCTATAAAAACTCACTCCAACTCTCCAAGGTAATAATTTTCACCTCGGTTGTGCACGGTTGGGTTTGATTGGCTAGAATGGGTGGTCAAACAGTGAATGGTATGGTCAAATAGTGAACGGTATGTATTACAGAGTATTATTTTGCCCTATCACGGCTTCATTGCTCGCCTATAAAAGCTAATCTGCATTCGCAAGTTTCTCAGGCCAATAATCGCTTTGCCCTCTAGCAGCAGACACAAAATTTCTGTAGCCATGGTTGGTATGTGGTAATTGATTCGGGACATTGATCAAAGCCGGACAACATGGGACATAAAGCCAATTTGTAATACGTTCCGTTGACATTTGGGCAAAACTATTTGTGAATCCCAAACACATGTTGATGTTCTTTGCTTATACGTGTGTGCTGTCTGTGCACGCACATCGCCTGTTTTGATATACCCTCATGAGCTCCTCCTTCATTTGTAGAATGCCTGTAGTTCAGATCAAATATTACAATTAATGTTGGGGTAGCATAATGGGTTTGTCCTATATAAAAGATGGTAGTTGTGTCGTATTTATTGAAGGAAGGTTTGTGATAATGGGATGTGAGAGGTTGTGGTTCTTTATTTTAATTGAGGTTAGGTGGCTGAAGGTTTGATTACCATAACTACTAAACGTGTCTGAATGTGACATGTGTGTGCAATTTGGTTATGATTATGATGATATTATACATATACATGGCATGTGTGTCAAATACTCAAATGAGTGTCCGTGTGCAAAAAAATGTAATTTGTGGGTGCCTCTAGAATGTTGTGCTATTTCGTTCGTTTGATTTAAGTGCTTCTCTGTTGTGAAAATTAATTTAGTTTTCCAAACAATACATGCTATTTCGTTATACACTCTGTATTAATAACCTAAATAAAGTTACTGTTTTCCGGAATTGAGAATGACATTAAACAACACCTTTGGAACGAATTTGTTATATAAATTACTAAAATTACAGTTTTTTATAACTTGCTCGAATTAGGATATAAAATAGACACACAAAATAAAACTCTGTGTGTAAGAATAGGTGTAATAATTTTTTAAAATGAAATGAAAGTAAATAAATTTACAAGAATAATTCGTGCACTTCCTTTTACGGAATATAATTTTCGAATTATGTGTGTTCGTATGATGTTCGGAAATTTCAGAAGAATTATGGATCTGTAAACATGTTTAGGTGCATGTTAACAATGGTTGTTTAACTCCTCCACTAAGATGCTTTACATATTCGAAGTGACGGTTACTTCTATAATTTCTTTTTAGATCTGATTCATAAATTTGACTCAATAAATTTAAACGCAACTTAAAGAAAACAACATCGGAGGGAGGTCAAACCCATGTGTTCGGACACAGATCTACATCTGTTCATTTTAGGTGTTGCGGTTCATACCAAAAGCGAATTAGGTGTGAAGTACAGCGTTTCGGAACTTACCGTGACCGTGTCAGCATGCCAGAGTCTTCCGCGGTTCTGTGTCGGTGGACCGCCGATTGTTGGTTGCGGCTGGAGTGGTCGCTGAAAAAGAGCGAGTGATGTGTGTCGATCGGTTAGCTTCCCAGCGCTTGCATATGTCGGTTGAGTGGCGTTGTTGGAGTGATGGGAGAGTGAGCGTACGTGGTGAGTGCAGCAAGTGTTTAGGGATGGATGTCCCTTTCAGGCTCGGTTTATGGAGGGGTTATAGCATGGGTTTCGGTTACCAGTGTTTTGGGCTCCTTTGACAAGCCCAGTAAGAATGGATCTGGACTGTTTTTTTTTTTTAATTTTTTTGTGTGTTGTGGAAAATAAATAAATAAAAACATTATTATTTTAAGTACTCGAGCATTCCTGGAACACGATTTGTACGATGAAACAAAACTCGGAAATTCATAAACTCTTTCAATGCATTAGATTGTGCACTTTTTTATGATGAATTTATGTTATTCTTTAATATAGTAGGTTACTATTTATAAATGATATTTTTTCCAAATAATGTATGACTTTTTGTAAATGCATTATAGATACTAACGACAGTATCCTATTATGACTTCGTATGGTATGACTATAAATAAAAGTCAAGGTCAATCATTGTCACATGTAGGATTGTTGTTAAAAAAACCAGTCTTTACCACGACCAACTCTATGTTGCAGTTTCAAGAGTTACCAATTGTCGGTGGCTGAAAATTTTAATTTGTGATGAAGATGAAGCACCACGGACATGACTCAAAATATTCAACAACGTGTAGCTTTATGTTATAGTCATTTGTAATGTTATTCTCTTTATTAATTTGTTTTGTATTTCCCAACAGTTTACAAATACTTAATCCTCTTTTTGAAATAGTGATATAATAGGTGTCCAACTATGTTCACAAATACGGAGTATTTATCTTATACCTTAGATTTGTATTGAGTATATATATATCATGCTTGCTACATTATACAAGGTTTTGTGCAACAATTACATCCAATTTATTATACCCCTATGACTTTAGAGAAAAAATTTATAAACCGTGCATCGCACGGGTGATTTACTAGTTTAGAGAATAAAAAACTTAAACTCCTGTTTAGGAATTCGTCCCATGTTTTTCGGCTTATTAGGCTTATCAACCAACTTTTTTATCAAACACGTAATTTTTGCTTTCGCGCGCTGAATTGTGTAATAAGCAGAAAAAGTAGGTTGAAGTTACTTTTCTGACTGTATTGGCTGAAGTCACTGTAGATGACCATTTTAGCTATTTTTACATATATTTTTTTCTTTGTTTTATTAATAAAATACATTTTAAAAATAATTTTTTCTTAATTCAGCAGAATCAGCCAATGCAAGCACTTCAACCAGAACTTCATAAATTTCAACAGAATCAGCCAAAACAGTCAATTTTCGTGCTATCAAATGGGCTGGAAAACGAATGAAGTTCTATTTCAAATCATTCGTCATGTTCCTTTTATGATAGTTGGGGGGTGCAAAAACGTTACATCGTGCAACGTTTACCATTATAAAATACTCCGTATCAATGTTTAAGAGTGAATTGCCGGCATTCAAATATTCTCTTTGTTTGAAAATTGAACTGGGAATCCACTTTATGCATTTCTAAACCGTTATTTGGTTGGATTTCCTTTAAATCTACTCCATGGCGAGAAGCTTATGCAATATTATCCTCGTCATCATCATCATTTGGTTGCCGGCACGGATACCCAAAAACTTTGACGTCCTTTTCTTGTGAAACAGAATCACAGATACGTACAAGCGCTTTTATGCCGCCGTGTATATGAATCGCCATTAAAAATATATTTTCCGCCATCCCAATTTTCGACCGGATATGGATCACAAGCTGGCTGCCTTGCTGCCATTGCTCACGGCGGTTTCCTTGGTTTCCGCCGCCCTTACGGCGGCTGAGTACGTTAGACCCGCGCCGCGCAGAACATTGAGTTTCCCTTGGGATGACTCCTCTTCTCAAGCTCAGCAAGTAAGCTACACCATTGAAACTTGAAAGCTCAATTTTTAAACATATAAAGAAAATGAAACGATTTTTGTTTTTGTTCTTGTGAAGTTATCTCTACTTTTGTTCCTTAGATAGCTTTACTTATTCTGTGGGAGTATCAGTGTTTCAGAATTACAGAGAGGAAACAGGGTTAAACCCTAAGATCGTGATTTGAGTTCTGCAGTATATATGCAGAACAGTAAATGATTTTCCTTTTGCCATTCTGTAATTGATTTGGGGAATTGATGCTCTGAGTTATGATACAGAAATGTTTGACTGCAGGTTCACATATCCTTAGATGGGGAGAAACACATAAGAGTGTCATGGATCACTAGTGATAAATCATCTCCTTCACTGGTTGAATATGGAACATCACCAGGAATATACACCCTAGCAGCTGAAGGAGAAAGTACTGGGTATAAGTATCCATTCTATACCTCAGGGAAGATACACCACACGGTGATTGGGCCACTGGAGGATGACAAAGTGTATTTTTACAGATGTGGAGGGACAGATCCCGAGTTTCAGCTCAAAACTCCACCTTCCAAGTTTCCACTAACTTTCGCTGTGTCTGGCGATCTGGGGCAGTCCGGATGGACCGTCTCGACTTTAGACCATATAGGCCGGTGCAGCTATGATGTTCATTTGGTACCTGGAGACCTTTCCTACGCTGATTACATTCAAAGGCGGTGGGACACATTCGGTAAGCTGGTGCAGCCTCTTGCAAGTGCAAGGCCGTGGATGGTGACCCAAGGGAACCATGATAAGGAACACATCCCCTTACTTAAAGAAGGGTTTGAGTCTTATAACTCGAGGTGGAAGATGCCTTTTACGGAGAGCGGTTCTTCTTCAAACCTGTATTACTCATTTGATGTGGCCGGGGTTCATGTTGTCATGCTTGCTTCTTATACTGATTTTGATCAGTACTCTGATCAATATCTTTGGCTGAAGGTTAGTTGATTTCTCAAGTTACTCAATAGAATTCGCAGTTGGGTAGAGAATACAATACATGCGCTAAATCATGCTAAAAGATTGAGTACAATCAACTATCTCTCTAGCCTAGACTTACTTGTATTGCTCACTCTAATATTTTAATGTAGGGCATGCTGAACACTTCTCTCCTTTTCTCTTTTGGTGCTAACTGAAGGTGTTTCTAACCCAATTATCTATAGGCTGATCTTCTCAATTTAGATCGCAAAAAGTCACCATGGTTAGTTGTGCTATTCCATGTGCCATGGTATAACAGTAATGTAGCCCATCAAGGGGAAGGAGATGACATGATGGAAGCAATGGAACCTTTGCTTTATGATGCTGGTGCAGACATCGTGTTTGCTGGCCATGTTCATGCTTATGAACGAACGGTATACCTAAGTTTGATTTTCTTTGCTTTATGATAATTATTTTGTAAATATTTATTGTAAGTTTTTTTAACTAATTGGTTCTCGTTGTGCTACCAGAGCCGAGTGTACAACAGAAAAAACGATATCTGTGGCCCTGTCCATATAACCATAGGTGATGGAGGGAACAGAGAAGGCTTATCAACCGAGTAAGCATCGTCTAGAGCTATAAGCTTGCTTTTGAGGTTCCGCGAACATGCTCAATAAGTTCCTCTGGATAACTAACTTGAATAAATGTTTGCATTTAAAAAAACAAAAAAAAACATAATCCTATTTCCCATTCTTCAATCTGTGAGCCCAACCTTTGCAATTTTTTATGAATTATGAATTTCCATCTATGTTCTTTACATAGACCATGCTCTATGCAGAACATTTTTAAATGAGTTTGGGGCTATATATAATGCATTGAGAAATTGTTATGGCAGTTATAAAGAACCACAACCAGAGTGGTCTATGTTCCGTGAAGCTAGCTTTGGGCACGGCGAGCTCGTGATTGTGAATGCAACTCATGCATATTGGAGTTGGCATCGCAATGATGACGATGAACCAGTGAAGTCTGATGAAGTGTGGATGACTTCATTGAGTACTTCAGCGTGCAATGGTGTAGGCGGTGGTCATTAATGGAGGGAGTTCGGGTGACCCTCATTCTCAACAATCAACCAAAGAGTCCTTTCATCACATAGCTTACACAGAAAGGCAGTAGTTTGGCATGTTCCAACCCGCTACTTGATGCGTCTCTAAGGTTGTTTAGCATCACCTTTTTTTAAAAGGTAAACTGTAAAAACGGAGATATAATTCGCATATGACATGTAACATATAATGTATATGATATACTGAACATTTTATTAGTAGTAGTTTCAGACATACGTGGATACTGGCTATATAATGTTTCAAAGAATCCTACAGTCACCGTTCTTTGGCTTAAACACCTCCTGATGCCTTATTTTGACTGAGGGTTAGAACATCTAATTTGCGACTGAACTTAGACTTATATTATGTGTCTGTATAATGTGTGTGAGTGTGACTATTAGTAATAGTTAAGCTTCACATATTTGGAAGCTACTTTAGAAGTTCAATCGAATCACAAAAAACTGAATATGATAAAAATTTACTCCTTGTCCCTTAAAATATCTTCCTACTTTCTTTCTTAGGACTTTCTTAAATGAAACTATTTTTCTTTATTTGGTAAACAAATTCATATCAATATGTTCTATTACCAAATAATAATAATTGTAGTGTTAAACAATATAAAAACAGTGTATTCTATAGTATAATACGGAGTACTTCGTAATATTTATCCTCAGTAGAACGGCATTATAAAAAGTCAAAGTAAAAAAGGTACTCCGTTTTCATTAATATTCAAAACTATGAAGCTCTTTAATAAGGGAAAGAATAAAAGATCAAAAGAAACCTAAGGATAAAAGTAGTCCAATAGTCCCGGCCTAATAGTTAGGGATGGCAATGAGGCGGGTTTGGGGCGGGGTACACTCCCCCATCCCCCGCCCCATGTCTAAAAAGTTCCCCCCATCCCCGTTACTCCCATCCCCGCCCCACCCTGTTGTCCCCCACGGGTGCCCACGGGTATCCCCATATATATTTAATTTATCGTATTTGCATATACTTTTAATCTCTTATTATAAATATGTGTAGTACGATTTCAATGAGAACGATGCTTAACGTGGGAATACTCACATTTAATCCAATGTGATACACAATAATCCAATGTGATACACAACAGAGTCATTCTAGTGCACATTTGGACTTGCTCAATACAAGCTAATATAAATAATTACGGTGCCACTTTTGAAAAAATCATGCTAGATACGAAAAAGTTCATTGTGCAAGCCCATTGTGTTTCACATTGGGTGTAAATGTGGTGTTCACACGTTCTCACGTTAAGCGTTGTTCTCATTTGATCCTAAACCTATATATATCTACGCGCACACAGTAATATATGATACACACGCACATGCAACACTGCAGTATTGTGTTTGTTAAAAGTTAATACCACCAATTTTAATAATTCTTCATTTTGAATAAGTTTTGTGAATTGAAGACAATTAAAGTAAAAATATAGGTAAACATATTATCATCATGTACGTTGTTTCAAAATTCTCAACACTTATTATACAATTAATTACATATTATATTACATATAAATGTGTGTGTATTTATTTACTCACTTTTCACTGTTAAAACTCATATAACATTTATGATAAATATTTTTAATATTACTAGCTAGCTTATTATTATTCTAGTATAATATGTATTAATTCATTAATCATGATTAAACCGTATACAATTATGTATGTCTATATGTATATGCGTTTGTTATATACTACATATAATTTAATTTAATATGTGCGTACATTATTTATATATATGTGGATATATATATATATATATATATATGGGATAAGGGTCAGATAGAGCCTCGAACTCGAAAAAAAATGTCAAATAAGGTCATATTTAGGATGCTCTGTCCGGCCGACGCCATTTGGGGTGGTTCCCGATGGAATTTTTTGATGAAATTTTTTGAGCATCTTCCTCATTAAGTCTAGTTTACTCATACCAAATTTCACCTAAAAATGCAACCGGGAAGGTAGTCAAATGATTTTCCGAAATGTACGGGGTTGTTTAACTTCGCAATTATCTTCAAAAAATTATTTGACTACCTTCCCGGTTGAATTTTTAGCTGAAATTTGGTATGGGTAAACTAGACTTAATGAGGAAGATGCTCAAAAAAATTCATCAAAAAATGGCATCTGGAACTGCCCCAAATGGCGTCGGCCGGACAGAGCATCCTAAATATGACCTTATTTGACATTTTTTTTCGAGTTCGAGGCCCTATCTGACCCTTATCCCTATATATATATATATATATATATATATATATATATATATATATATATATATATATATATATATATATATATATATATATGTTTAAGTGTATATTTATAACGGGGATGGGGAGGGTGTAGCAATACCCATCCCCGCCCCATATTTTAACGGCGTAAAAATATTTCACCCATCCCCGTCCCCACCCCGCCCCAACCTTCCCCCGCGGGGCGGTTCCCCACGGGTCCCCGCCCCCATTGCCATCCTTACTAATAGTTCCTTCCTCCCAATTCTTTTGACTTACCTTTTAGGACGTTTCAAAAAATTCTTGTCGTTTCTTTTTTGAAAAGATTGGTATGATCACTATTCATTTTACTTTTTTCTCACTTAACTATAATCACAAATTTTCACTTTATTTTCACTTTCTTAAACTCTGATCCAAGTCAAACCAGGAAGAATTTCGGGACGAAAAGAGTATGTTCTTTTTTAGATAGCTTCGTCGTTTAGAGGTTAAATGCTCCTCGTTTTACGCCATCATCAGTCGGGGTTTTTGGAACATTGGTTAGTTGACCATGTTGCATCATGTACTAGCTTGACTGCATAGATCTGTTGACCGGTTATAAACTTGCAATAATGTGACATGTATAATTCAAGGGATATTATAAAAAAGAATTAAAATAAGCAGAAGTATTTTAAATTAAACATAAATCTCAATTATATTGAGATTTATCCTTTTCCCAGAATTTATATTGTTTGATTTGAGATAATACAATTTAAACAAAAGTCTTAGGCATAAACATAACTACACGCATGCTAACTAGTGCCTTCACAGTCACATTAGAAACAGCCACTGTGCAATAAAATCTCCACGTCTCATTTCTATCAATAAATTTTACATTAAAATTATAAGTAAGTCTACTTTAAGTATAACACACACAATTTACTAATGCTGCACAATGTAATGGAACTCCTTCCCATTAATATATTTGGTTACTTAAACAATAACAAAACTTGTCATCATACCTTTTCTAAATACTAATTACTTCGACTTTGATATTCTTACAATAACATCTTTTTATTTGATAGTGACAATTTTGGGTGAAATCCTTAATACATGAGAAATTGCCCTAAATAGGAGTAAAAACGTTTTGAAATTCCAAAATAGGAGTATCATGTTTTTTATTCCCTGAATAGGAGTAATCTGCCGTGTTTGGAAGAAAATGTCATGTTTAAAGCCTTGTAATGTCTAAACTTGGCAGAATTTTACTCCTATTTAGGGAATAAAAAACATGATACTCCTATTTTGGAATTTCAAAACATTTTTACTCCTATTTAGGGAATTCTCTCTTAATACATCCGATTTTTATGTCAAGTCACTTGTAGTTGGGCATGGCAACAAAAATCAACCCGTAAGGACCTACCTTAACCTAGGGATGGACCTGGGCCGGGCTGGTTCCGGTTCGGGCCTGGGCCCGGCCGGGCATTTTCTTTGGGAAGGGAGAACCGGAATTGGCCCGGGTAGGCATCGGTTCCGAGCCGGGCCGGTTCAGGATCAATGTTATTATTTTTCTTTTGATTTTCTAATTAACCCCCGACCCCCCCCCCCCAAAAAAAAAAAAACACTCAACCCAACCCGGTAGAAACAAAAAAATTAAAAAAACACAAAAAAAATTAGGCCCGAACCGGGCCCGGGTCGGTTCCACTTTTAGGAGGCCCGAGCCCGCACCGTTTAATTCCCGGTTCGGGCGGCCCGGACCGGTCCTATGACCAGGTACCGGGCCGGGCCCAAACAGTTTCGGGCCGGACAGCCTGACCCGAGTCCATCACTACCTTAACCCAAGACATTGGGCCCGTCATTCAAATGGAGTGAAACCGCTTTACCTTGCCTCGTGCACACAATAAGCGGGTTCAGATGTTAAGATTGACTCATGTAGTCATGTACTCATGTTGCCCTGCCTTAATCGGTCCCACCATATATATATAAATATACATTTATTTTTCAAAAGTTTTTTATTGATAAATATATACATACATTTCTATGTGTATATAAATTATAAATTATTTTTTATAATAACACAATTTATCTTAATCAATTGAGATCAAACATGATTACAAGCAACTCAAAGTAATCGACTCGAGGAGTAGCCCGTGTGTAATATAGCACTTTGTTCATCTAAATGTTTCCGGTGTGGGACATTTAACACCCCTCCTCACGACCAGACACTTCGTCTGGATCGTGCAATCATTCATTTTTTTCATCAGTCCATTTTTTTCATCCGGCCATTTTTTGTAATCGTGTCATCATTTTTCATAAGGGGCCCCACACCATGGATCAATTTGGCTCTGATAACATGTTAAGACTCGGGGTTCCATCCTAAAAGGTCAACCTGATAGGAGGAGTAGCCCGTGTGTTAATATGACACTTTATTCATCCAAATGTTTTTGGTGTGCGACATTTAACATCGAACGAACAACTCAAATCACACACTACTAGGTGGGCAACTCTAAGTCGAAATTGTCCAAATTTATCATCTTGCTTCTAGTTTTAACAGAATCTCCGTGCAACCATTAATTCAAACTAATACAAAATAAGGTAAATCCTAAACCTTTTAACAATTTTAAAGAGAATAATAAGAAATAAAGTAGAATATTGAACCAAATGAAACTGTTGAAAATTACAAGATCCTATAGTCTTGCAATATACTCCGTATTAATATTTTTATTTGAACTAGATGAATAGTTGAGTGTCAACATATTTTCTATATTCAGGATCTTGTATATTCATATATTACAAGATCCTAGTTCGTTTTTCTTATTTTTTGAAACTTTTTGTTGTAATTTGTATGCAAATTCAAGGAAAAATTGTCAAATAGGTCATCGAACTTTCATAAAAAGGTCAAATAAGTCTTTATATAGAAGACTCTGTCCGGCCGTCGCGATTTGGGGCGGTTCCCGGCGGAATTTCTGGATGAAAATTTTTGAGCATCTCATTCATCAAGTCTAGTTTACTCATACCAAATTTCAGCTAAAACTTCAATCGGGAACACATTCAAATTAATTCTTGAAGATAACTGCGCAGTTATCTTCAAGAATTAATTTGAATGTGTTCCCGATTGAAGTTTTAGCTGAAATTTGGTATGAGTAAAATAGACTTGATGAATAATATGCTCAAAAAATATCATAAAAAAGTTCCATCGGGAACCACTCCAAATCGCGACGGCCGGACAGAACCTCCTATATAAGGACTTATTTGACCTTTTTATGAAAGTTCGATGACCTATTTGATAGTTTTCCCGCAAATTCAAATTACAGCGGCTTTCACACACATAAATAAATAAATAAATCACATATATTACGTATTACCTAATTGACTTGGGTGGGTTGATCCACGCGCATGGAACGACACAGACCGCCCCGACCAATTGGCACTCCTAAAGGAAAATTACATTTCCGGTTCATTTTTATCGGTTTTGGTTCGGTTCGATTTGAAACGGGTTGGGAGAATTATTACCAAATAAAAATCATACGGAGTACTATATTTCGGTTCAATTCGGTTTAGTTCGGTCGGTTCGATTCAGTTTTGTTTGGTTTTTATCGATTCCGGTTCGGTTCGATCTAATATGATTTGGACAAAATACTACCAAACTCAAATCAAACTACATATGGTCCGATTTTGCTGGGTTTAGTATGATTCGGTTAAACCAGACAGTTATGCCCACCCCTACAGTCTGACCTATAGTTTTTCCTAAACCATAATAAATTAGTCTACACATAAAAGAGAAAACCTATTGGGCTTCGGACCAGTAAAGGCCCAGGCTCATAGCCAAAAAATTCAAAGGCTAGTGAGACAAGAGGCCCAAGTTTAAATAAATTGCCAAAAGCCGTTTCTTCCAGTAGCAAATAATCCAGGCTCGCGGGGACAGCAGATAGCGGGTCACGACGGGTCGACGGTCGCCGCCTAAATCCTTCGGCCGCCACCTGGCACCTTCACTCCTCATTCTGCGATTCTCTACTCACCCTTCAATATTCACTCTTCTTCAGGTTTTTTCGTTTCAGACTTTCAGTCTTATTTTTGTTTTACTTTTACTTTAACGGCTGTCGTAATTTTACATTAATGTTATGTCGATTATTCTGATTAGCTGCTGTTTTTTAACTTTTGAGTAGGAATGTATTTTAATATTTTTAGCTGCTGGTTTTTATGATTATTGTGAATTTCTGATTTTGTTAATATGTGTTTGACTGTTTGTTATGATTTTAATGCCGTTTTTAGCTGTTATGTTTGTATTAATTTGAATATGTCATCTTGATTTACACATTTTTAGTTGCTATTTACTTTGTTGATTATTGTGACAAGGTTACATGATCATTTTTCACATTTTGTATTAATCCGACAAGGTGATTTTATTTCGCCCGCACGGGATGGAAATGAAGAGAATTTGGTTTTTCAGTTGTGCTTGAAGTAGCCTTGAACTCACGTGCCTTGTTGAAATTTTATCCAATTGAAAATTTTCAATTGGCACAACTCATGTGCCAAAGATTCATTATTTTTTGGCTTGAGAATATGATGGAATAAAGCAAAATGGCTCACCAAGCTGTCTGCTCTTCTTTGTTATGAAGCAGCAGTCAGTACATGCAATTTTGGATGCGATTTTCATTATGGGTCATCCGGAAACAGTCTCTCTGTCTCTCTGTACTTTAGTACAGTGGTAAGACTGCGTAGATCCGACCCCCTTACCCCACCGTATGTGGGAGCCTTTGCGGCACTGGGGTAAATGATGATTGATGATTGATTGCATACATGACAGTGGATTAAGATGATTTTTTCTGTTATAAGGATGGTGTTTGTTGTTAGAACAAAAACTAATGTCCCTGTCTTTGATTAGGCAGGAAGGGAAGCTCCTTAGTCATAGTGCAGTGAGGCGGGCTGAGGAAGTTCTTGTAAACAATTGGTGATTTTCTAGAATATACCCTCTCTTGTTTGGTAGTGTTACATGAAACATAGGACTACACTAGGATTAATAGCTAATTTACTTTGGTACACGTGCCGTGTCAAGGATTATCTACACATTACTTGACTGCCAGATTTTAATAATCTGAGTACAAAGCTTTATGATTTTTTTTTTCAAAATTTGTAACCTACATCACAGATCACGGAATGTCCCGAATACCCTAATAGTTGTAGCAACTCTTTATTACCCTAGATTTTATTGCTTTTTGTTTATTATTATCATGTCCTTTAAACAAGATATGCATTCTTATCACAACACATCACTAATTATATCACAAGGTCCAATTTATTCATAATTCCTCATCATTACATTACATGTTAATATTTCACAAAAATTCTAATCATGCAACGCACGGGTGAACTGCTAGTTCAAATGAAGTATAGTGCAAGATTGCGATTAAAATGATCAGAGCAAGTTTTTCCCCAAAAATAGAAGTTATGATACTCCCAAAAATCCAAGCTATTTGATAAGATTCTGGAACACAGATTGAATCCGAAACTGAAAAGCCCAAATCTTCGTAGAGAATGAGGCGAAGGCCGGGAATCGGAGGGCTACAGAATGCAGCCACGGCTAGGGTTTGTTTCACTCTACAACCTCAAAATAAACGCAGTTTGTCTTTGATTTTTTTTGTTAGTTAATGATTCATATGCTTCTGATATAAGGACCAATACCGATTGCTTGGTGAAAATGTGGCCAAACTGAGAACTGATCTTATGAAAGAGCAGCTTAGTACTTTTCGCTCTATGCTTGAAGACTTTGCTCGTAAACACAAGGTTTTTTTTTTTAGTTATGTGATTTTTTAAATTTTCACTTTCACAATTCACACTAGCTATATTTACATGTTGGATGCGTTGCTCTTCCAATTTTTACCGCAAATCAGCTTTTGTGATTGTTATACTTGACGCCAACAGATTCTTTAGATATAAATATATAATTTACATTTACAACAACAATGTAAATATTTGGGGTCGGCTAACCTTAACTGTCATATGAAATTGGAATTAAAAACATTTGATAGAGAAAGAGGGAGATAAACAATATAAGATCAATCAGCCACAATCGTCACCTGAATGGCTGAATGTTTTCCCTTCACTTGGTCATTTCCCAACCTCCATTTTCAAACGAAGTAGTATCATGATTCTTAATCTCTCTATTACATGTATATCTAGGTCGTCCTCTCCCTCTCATCCTCCCCTCCCCTACCACCCACCTCTTAATCTCGGTAACAATTAACAACTGCATCACTCAATCTTCTATACAGTCTAAATCCCTACCATCGAGACTCTCTCGTTTTATCTCTGATAGGTGTTACATCACTTATCTTCTGATTTTTCATTCTTCAAACGGGGTTTTCTAATTTTCTAGTATGCCACTTTGTAGTTTCATGTGTGTCCCAAGCCAGGATAAAGAGTACACCTCATGACATGAATCGAGATATATAATTTACATTTGCAATGCAGCAAATCTGGTGTCAAAGTTAGATATTGGTTTGAGAACATTAACCCCTTGTTTTGTTCGAGAATTTCACACGAGAGAGATGAGGATGGTCATGATTGTTTTTTTAATTTACTCTTACATTAGCTATTTAGAAGAAAAGTAAAAGTGGGAAATTGTTTAGACAACTAGACGTATATGATTTAATTATGAGTATATGACGATACTTAGGATGTTTTCATTGGTCTAAATTTTGTCTAGTTCGTTTAAGTATGGTCTGTTTGTTTAAGTCTGGTATGAGATTGAAACTAATCCAATTGAAAACATCCTTATTATGATATAACACTAATAGAAAAGATTGTAATCTATTTTTACCCTCCCACCAAAATCCCCTTAGAAGGACTTAGTCTTGATGCGATTTAAGGATTTAAAACTTAAGGTCCCTGGAGGTCATAAATATTGGATCTGTGTCATTATTGAAGATTTAAAGATGTAACTAAAAACAGTATGTGCATGCACTCGTGCGTGTGTAATTGAACCTCAGGTTTAGCAGAGTTTTGAGCTTTTCATGGACTCATTTCAGTTCTTCTGTAATATTCTACATGTTTGTGTGGAATTAGAATTGCATTTACTTACGATGCATTGATGCTGCCAGTGTAACTGCGTAAGTTTACTTTTGTAGAATGATATTCGTAAGAATCCTGCATTCAGATCACAATTTCATGAGATGTGTGCTAAAGTAGGAGTTGATCCTCTTGCCTCAAACAAGGGTTTCTGGGCAGAGCTCCTAGGAATTGGCGACTTTTACTATGAAATTGGTCAGATACATATGCTTCAAGATTTTTCTTTTCTTTTTTGACTAACATTGTGACATGGAACCTTTTATTTTTCTTTTCTTCATCCCTGTTATGATGTCTGTATAACTGTCTAGGCAGGGGTACAAATTATTGACATTTGTTTGGCTACAAGGCCTCACAATGGAGGGTTGATCGGTTTGGAAGAGCTATGTAAAATTCTTGCTCAAAGACGAAAGAGTGCTCGTGAGAATGTGTCTGAGGATGACTGTTTGCGTGCTATAAGCAAGCTGAAGGTATTTTACTAAGTTCCGCTAAACTTAGTTTAAGTTTTGCATGATTTTGTTAACTGCATTAACTGCATCCTTTTCTGACTGTTGATCCTTTGGGACATAAGGTTTGATAGTATTTTTAGATCAAATTTATATGCATATGTGAAATTGGATATAATGATCAAGCCCTTTATTTACATGAACGAACCTGTCTTGAGGGAAATCTGCAGTCCTTCTTCATACCCTCTCTTGTGGAATTTTTATGGTCCGCTCTGAACCCTGGAAGGCCGAAAAAGCCAGAGAAAAAGAAAGGAAAATTGTGGGGGAGTTGGAGCAAAAGAATATATGAATTAGTCTATACTCTATATCATTTTAAGATATTTATACCAAGTCATTTGTGTATTTTCCCAGGGTACAGTAGAATATAAAAAAGACTGTCCCTTGATGTTTTGTGTTTGAAACATAGGTTAACATTTTTCGAGTTGTGATGGCTTGTTGAAATGTTTCGTTTGTGTGATAAGTTTCCTAAACACAGATAAAAAGCTGAGCCCTCCATTTTCATTTCAGGATTATATCCCTCATTTACTATAGCACATTTGGCTTTGCAATATATTGTCCACTTTTTTTATATCAAATTCATGCCTATTTTAGTTAGAGAAAGTACTGTCCTCTTTTTATTACTAGCTATGTCCCGTGTTTGCGTTTCTTTGTTAAAATTTCGGAACCACACTGAATAGCTGTAAAAGACCTACAATTTTAAATCCAACAATTAGTCGTCCAATGCAATAGTGGTTCTGAATATGTTTCCCAATTGGGTTACATCTACAAACTATTTTCCAGGTACTGGGTAATGGTTTTGAGGTGATTTCAGTTGGAAAAAGAAAGCTTGTCCGCTCTGTCCCTACTGAATTAAACAAGGATCACAATGAAATTTTAGAGTTGGCCCAGGTTTGCCATTTCATGAAATTATCTAGCAACATTTACATATGCGGTGAACCATCACGCTACCCGATTTCTCACACATCTTTAATTTCCATTTTCATAACCTCAGGCTCAAGGCTTTGTGACTGTTGAAGAGGTACAAAGGCGGTTGAACTGGTCCCTTGGCCGTTCTACTGATGCTCTTGAGACACTGTTAGAGGTCAGTTTTTGTCTCTATATATCCTCTTCTAATGGGGTTGTCTTAGCTTTATTCTGGTTATATAAGCTGTGATTGTGAATTACAGGAAGGTCTTGCTATGATTGATGATGGACACCGTGATGGCAGACGACGATATTGGTTTCCGTGTGTATCTTCCATCTCTACTTTTTTAGGAACTGATTCAGCTTCAGGAACAATGCACTTATGATTCGTGTATTTTTCATATGTAAAAAATATACTCATGTCCACACAATAATGAGTGAAAACTTTATCAACCCGTCTTCTTCCATCGAGCAAGTATGTACTACTAGTAGGTATGTGCTAGAAAATTATGAATTAGGCTGTTTCAGAACGTGGAATCTACAATTTGTATTGCTGATTATTCACTTTGGGAAATAAATCGTGTGTGATTTATACTGAAAATATATTTGATTACAATACATTACTGCATTCCATTACTGTTTATCAAACGTTGCCTAAGGCTCTTGTTTATGAACTCTTGCATGGAAAATTAGTGATGAACCGGTTCCGGGCCCGGCCGGGCTTTTTTTTGGGAAGGGAGAACCGGAACCGGCCCGGGTAGGCAGCGGTTTCGGGCCGGTTCATGTCCGGGCGGCCTGACCCGAGTCCACCACTATGGAAAATGCGACAAGGACAAACAGATTTGCAAAAAAAATTATAAATAAGTGATGTGCGTCATGTGACTTGTAATCACCTTTGATGTAAAATGATGCAATTTATTAAATAATAATACTCCGTATGATACTGTGACATGCCTCTATTGAAAGTAGGGGAATCCAACACTCTTCTTGCATTGTGTGTCATGTATATTGGAAGAAGGGAAATCCAGCAATGCTCCTATTGTGTTCATTTAGAATTGGGTCACTCCAGGACCGTGGTTTAAATCCGAGCTTGAAGAAAAGAGTGAGTTATAATGCCTCAAAAACTTTGAGCCATCCAAAAGCTCATTCCACACTTCCAATAATAATACATTGATTTGTTGTTGTACGGCAGCTGGTGGTGGTCCACATGGTATCACCGTGAACTGTGTATTCAGGCATCTTGGAGTGCCTCGATAAAGGGTGGGACATGGGAGTCTACTATTTGTATCTTGAGCCCATCCATGTGCGGAAATGTGGAATTGGTGGTTGAACATAGTACAGCCCGAGCATACTCTAAGTCTCTAACAAAGTCTTTGAGAATTGGGTGGATATTGTAGAAATGTCGATTGGGAGAACATTGAATGTCATTGCCCTTGTCAGGGTGTTTAGATTATTGACAAACTCTTGCATCAATAGCACCATAATTTATGATGCCCCTAGAATGCTTCTATTTGGTTTCAGAATATTGTAGTGTGGGTGGAGTTGGAGTTGTCTATGCCCCGTTGGTTGACTCCGGAGCTGAGATCCACCAACACGTAGGCGATATATTAGCCAACACCTACTCATGCCACGCATGTGAAGTGGCTGCGACACCAATGCCTTTGCCTAGAAAGCGTCGTGCACGATGCACCTGCACACTAGCCATGCTCAGTGAGACCGTGTGGATTTCAAGTTGGGCTCACAGAGCATTGTCTTAGTACTTGTGAGTGTGGCTCTATTGTCAGTTGAGAGCTTTGGCATTGCGTTGATGAGAGAGGAGGTTGTTGGGTGGAAAAGAGTAGGACTTGCAGCGGCTTGGTGTCTAAAGATGTGTTGAGGCAAGATAGACATTGTTGACCCAAGAAGCTGGGCGACGAGAACTTAATTTAAAACAAAAAAACACAGGAAAGAAACTACAAATGATAACTTTAAACAGGAACAATAGTAGATGAACTAAGAGAGCCAAGGGAGGTTAATGGGGGAGTTCAAGAGAGACATAAAGTTATCCAGATCTTATGAAATAGGTCAAACCTGTATATTGATTTGTTCATATTCATGCTATATATTTGTTCTCTATGATTGTCAGATTATTACTAATATCACACATGCTTTGTGTTTCCGATCCAACCCCACCATTTTAATAAATTCATTCAATACCACTCCAAACCTACAAATGCATATGTTAGATAAATATCACACTTAAGATTATATGGGAAAACAAGGGGAAGGTACAAGCTAGACATGATGATAGCGGGTCCAATTTTACACCACGATGTGGTTAAGAAGAAGAAGATGGGGAGACATGTCTGATATCCCAAAATTAAGATGTTTTCAATTGAACTTATTTATGTCTAAGATTAAATAAGACAAAAAAATTTAGTTCAAGTTAAAGCATCCCAATTAGAATGAAGAAGACAATTGACTCAAAGGGGAGGGTTATTAGACTCAAGGTCAATGAATAACCTATGTGGGATGAGAGAAATAACCTATGTGGTACATTCGAATGTAAGATAAAATGGAAAAGTGAAAGGAAAACCAATAAAACATGCCACATGATGGGGTGACATGCCCGAATTATTTGTAATTTATACTTTTACATAAATTTCTTCTTCTTTATAATCTTTGTTTCACTATAAAAATTATTGTTCTGATCTTGCTAAGTTTCCCGCCGACTTTATTGCTAAGTTTCCTGCCGACTTTATTGTCTTTCATGACTATTTTAAGATTTTCTAGCTATTTTGTCCGACTACATAATTTATTATCATTCGGAAGATCAATATCTTATGTTTTATCGGATTACATAATTTAAGATAATTCTTTTTTGTTCATTGAATTTGTTATTACTGAAATTGTGGGCAATCAAAAAGTAGAACTAAAGATACCATAGTTTGTAAAACTTTAGCTAGTTGGTCAATAAGAATATGATAAATCAACATATAAAACTTCAATAAGAACATGCAAAGAGCATTATGGTATTTTTTGTTAGCAATGATGGAACCTAGTGCAAAATATATACAATCAAGTGCGCTCATAATGTAAATTTACATAGGACATATACTTTGTATGTGATTATATTGCAATATAACCTATTCAAATGATCCTGATTCGAGGGTGTAGGTGTGTAAGTATTCAAAATGTTATTCTATCTCTTAAAGTTCTTCGCACTTACTTTTTGGGGCGTATAAAAAAATTATTCTAATTTTCCTTTTTAGAAAGCTCTATGTGGCTAACTTCATTTGTTTTTTTCTTACTCAATCACAATAATACATTTTCAATTTATTCTCATTTTCTTAAACTTTGATCCAAGTCAAATCGGGAAAAATTTTACGCGATGGAGGGAATACCAAATACCTATGAATGTAGTTATTGGGAGAGTCGGCCCACGACATTTCATCATAATAAATTTTTAACAGGTAACCCGTCAATCAGTTGGTTACCTGCTGACGAGACGCACACCTGACCTGACACGGTTGTTAACTGCTGACCTTCCTTCTGATGTTCAACTATAAAAAGACATGTGAGCATATACAAACTTAGTCAATCGCTTTTTTCAAACAATTTCTGAATATCGTTTTTGATGTTCTTAGAGATCTCTAGTCTGAAACAATATCTATTTTTAATTTGGGAAGTTCTTGATGAAAAATGAAGTTTTATCTTAATATTTCCGATCAAGTTCAACGATTTACAATTTTGCTACACATGTTGACATACTAAACAGAGTGTTACATATATTAACTAATTGCTCAGCCTTTTTCAGTAGCATAATTCATTCAGACACCATAAAACAAATTGAATAATATAGTACATGCATTAAATGAATTGTCCATCCATAACTTTACATTCAGCCAATTCCGCCTAAAAGCTACATCTATTGTATTCCGCCCAAGGGGTTGCTGCCACATTTCCGTTTATATATAGATAGATTATATTATAGACCAGAAGCCCAAGAGTTCAAAGATGCAACCCATAAATGTCAATACATTAAACCACTTAATAAACCATAAATCAACGGTTCCTTCTCCTATTTGGTCTACGATTGATTAATATGAAGCAACAAACTCGGAAGTCGAAAGAGGACAAAAGGCTTCTCTCCTTCTTGACTATCTAGAGTCGACAAATCTCGTGTCTCACCGCAAAGTAAGCATCGGATACTAGCGAGAGTTAGCAGCGACACAAGGAAGTGCGAAGAATCAAATACTCAAAGCCACCATCGAAGACTAGATGATAGTTTGTACTTGAGCTTAACAAAATTCAAGGATATTAAGCTGTTAAATTTGCATTTGTGGTTAACAAATGGATATTAAAAAAAGACCAATTTTTTTCTTTGCACAGGATCCCCAATACAATTTCTTTGGACTGGCCCTGATATTGGTCTATTTATAACATTATTTTATTATTAAAGTTCACTTGCAAGAAATAGTTTTGTACACATACATAGTGAAAGAATTATATTATCAATTACACGTGTAGTTTGGTCATTAAACAATTATACACACACACATATATAAACTAGTAACAAACCATAAACTATTAATTGAGTTTGCAATCACTTTGTAGGCATCCTCAAGTTTGATGGGATTGGTTATCCGTACATTTACTGGTCTTTCAGTAGGCTTTGACATGATGGCGTTTAGCTATGTAATCATCGCCTTATTTTCAATAAATAAGTAGAGAAGCTGGTTATATTTAAAGTGGTTGGGTAATAAATAGGTAGCCTGTGCCACAATCATACAAATGATTTTTTGAAATGGTGAACCCCGGTCAACTCAAAATTTCATTGTGACCCTGGTTAAATTTAGTTGGGACAAAGCAGACAAGCTTTCATTTTCCAACTAAAACCACCTCAAAATGATTACCAAGTACCTGCAAAATGGTATGTAGATAAAACCAAACTGTGAAACATATTTAGAACCACTATTGTATTGGATGACTAAATTGTTGGATGCGAAACTGTAAATCTTTACAACTCTTCGGTGTGTTTCTGAAATGTCAATAAATATATACAAACACGAAATATAACTAGTAATCAAAAGTGGGCAATACTTTCTCTAACTAAAATGTGCTCATTTCTGTTAAAGGGGGGCAATATATTGCAAAGTTAGAGTAAATGAGGGTCATAGTCCAATTCTGATTGAAAGGAGCACTCAACTTGTTATCTACGTTAAGAAAATTGATCACTCAAACAAAACATTATCACGAGCTATCACAACTCAATACACTGTTAAGTTGTGTTTCAAACACAGAAAATAAATGTAAGCCTCATTCGCAATGAGGCGTAAGCCTCAATTTTCTACAAAAAATATATGTAAAAATGCACAAATAATGTGATACAAAATAAAATAAAATAATTTATAAAAGTCAAATAACGTCATAATGAAATTCAACAAAAATGGGATCATAAGATCATCCAATAGTATGTCCAGATCGCAAAAAATTATATATTTTCTAATTTATAAAAGTTTTAGAATTATTAGATCGAGGAGTGCAAAAACGAATCATTTGTTTCAAGTAGTTTGTAATAGGGATAGACGCCAGTAGCATTTCCTCCCCCTCCACCACCACCATCACCTACACCACCACCACCACCACCATCACTCTCATCAAGTTCA